CAAATACCCTATTGTGACTTAAGCGAATTATGGTCATGCACCACAATTTAAGCGGATCAATTTTCAGCCGCGAATGCTGTATCTTCCCTTTCTGTTTTAATCTAAGCATCTATAAGATATGGTGGCCGTTTACCATCAGTCGGGCCCTATGCTTCTCTGCTACGCTTTTCACTTAAAAAAAATAAAAATCGGACACAGAGTAGGTACCACAAACACCCAGATTAGAGACAATAAAGATAAGTTTTCTACATTTACATTCGATCGGGGATCAAACCCGTAATTCAAATATGGTGTAACCATATAATAAATAATAAGAATAAATATCGTTCAGTTAAGGTTTTTTTGAGTGTGTGTGCTGTTGATAGCAGATGACCTTTACAGCGTCACCGGGTTAGAGGACGGCGAGATCTTAAGGGAACTTCAAGCCGAGAATTGGCGAGTGCCTCTAGAGGTATTCCGGGCGTTCATTCATGGCTCCTCCTCACGGGAGAAGTCTCCTCTCCGTCTGGAGCCTCTAGCTAGACCACTCGAACCTGAGGAGTACCAGTTAACGTGCCTTCCAAAGCACGGAGGAGCTCGGATGACACTTTCGGTCACCCATCCAATGACCGACCATTGCGAAAGCCTTTCAACTTCCACAACCGACCGACCACGCTAACTGCTCACTGCTCGATCGAGCTCAAAGTAAAAAAGCCAATATATAAATAAAATTTTAATACCTAACACAAATAACCGCACGAAAATGACAAAAAAAAACATTATATTAACAAGAATGTGTTTAACAAAATTCCAACAAGGTGCACGCGTTTGAATAAAAAAAAGAGGTCCAACGAGATTGGGAACAGAAAAAAAAGCAACAGATACAATAAAAAAAGAAACGCACACACACACACACACACACACACAAAGCTTCACCTACCGCCCGCCGTTTCGGTTCACGTCATTATAAAAACTATTGGTTGGTTTTAGATAAATGTACAGAGTTGCTAAAACTGTCTAAGGCCCGTATTAAAGAAAGATTCTCAGTGATTGATCTAGTCTTGAGCATAGTTAGAAAGGGATGTCGCTATATACAGCACATAGCGACATCCCTTTGTAACTGTATTCAAGTAAAGATCAACACTTAGTTGTCATTCTGTAAAACGGGCCTTTTGAAAATATTTTAAGCAACTTTTAAATCGAAATTAAATCACCGTGTCTCCGATGAGAGCTCGCTGAAATCTAGAATAAAAATAAAGGTTTAATTGATAAAAATGTTATGCTCAACTTAGTATTAAAAATAGAATGAAATGTCAATTGTAGGCAGGCGGTTTTTTTATTTTTAGTAGGTTCAGCAAATTTGTTTTGCCTACGCACCTACGATCTATTAAAAATAGAACAGAGCAATCCTTTGCAATCTTATGTTATTTAAAGTTTTCATTTATCCCTTAATTTTAATATCTAAATATTGTAATCATTGATATAAAAAAAAAACTGGAAAAGGCGTCCTAACTCAACTGCGTTAAATATCGACCTTTTCAATAGTTCTTCTGTCAAAAAGTATATCCTATAAAACCATTGTCCTGTACCAATGATACGTCATATATTTTTAACGCAAGCACATATTTTATTAATTTAATGTATTTTTTTGCCTTATAAATATCTCAGGACTCACAGATATAATAGTCTTAATTTAGTAATCAATACTGCTATCGTTTTTCGTGATTTACATGAGAGAATCTACACTCAAACTTATTACACTCACACAAACATTCACACTCATAAACACTCGTTCACAATTTCATTTACAAGCACAACATAGGGAAGATAGGAAAATGCGGGTTCGATACCCATCTGAAACCAGTCCTGTAAAATTCTTACAAGTTAAATGTTCAATAAATAAAGATCGTTATGCTACCGCGGCCCTGACAGCCGTGTCGAATTTTCTCTAGCCTTAGGCTGTAAGGCAGCGCCATCTCTTCGCATTATACGTAACCCACAATGTCAAATGAATACCTTTAAAAGTATTAAACATTTGAAAGAAGAAATAGCAATTATAGTTAATCCCGACTGCTACCTGATCCGCGTGGATTTTTTTCTAGTAAACTTTTCTTTAGATTTAAACATCTAGCAGTTGAATGCTTTAAAAAAAAATAAAAACATAAATAAAAATCGGTTAAAACATCTCTATATAATCCAGCACGCGTCCCGTCCCAAGTAACCACCTCAGTTTCCCACAAAAAACAATAATACGACTCATAATTGAATTATTACTAATAATGGGCCGGCCGTATTAGTCCCAACATATAATTTTCTCACCGTACACCAATAAATACGCCTTGTTAAACATAAATGTTAGCCCGTAACAAGTAGGTATTACTTAGCAATAATTTATTTGTTTTTCTTGTTCCAAAAAGGTTAACAAACACGATTTGCCTTTTGGATTTTGCGCTTCGGCGTAAGCAAACAGGCACCTATTTGTATTACTTTATATCTACTCGTATATTCTAAATGATGTAATGGAAGGTGATTTCAGCAGTAGAGTCTGCGGAAAGAGAATGGTCGTGGCGAAAAACGGAACTAACATTAAGATTTTTATTTGGCAATCAAACCCAGCAATCTGTAAGTCAAAGTTTTGTATTGATACGGATTTGTTTGTTGTTGTGATTTCTTGCGGTTTTTTGTATTTAATCATGTCTAAATGGGGTAAAACCTTACAAATACGGTAGAAAAGCACTCCAATCTAAATCCCATTCTCTTTCCGCACAGACTCTATGTGCAAAATGACTTCAGAAGTCATTTTGCAGCTTTACGACTCTGTATATAACAATACAGGGAGAAAAAAACCAGTCCTTGCTGAGTTTCTTGCCGGTTCTTCGCAGTACAAGGTCTCCCGCCGTAGTTTTGCGAACCTCTTTACAAGTGCTTGTAACAGCCTAGACTGAATAAATGATTTTTGATTTTGATAAATGTTACGTTTGAATTTGCTTTGTAATTAGATGTTTCCATGCCGGAAAGCTATCAACTGTGCGGTGCGTCTTTCTTTAAGTTTTGAACAGGATTGCGTTCCAAACCTACGCTTTGATTTCAACTTTTTAACTGAACGTTTCAACTTTGACATACAATGTATATAAAGCTTTGACAAATTTGACATTTGTTGGGTGTGGAACGCACTCCTGTATTAGTAGAAATTTGGAAATAAATAATTACACAATATAGTTCAGTCCAGTTACCACGGAACGCCTGTAAAAGTGTAAATAAATAAATAATTTAACTAATAACACTGTCTGATACTTTATTATAAATTATACTTGTTCAAAACGTGTTATATGTAATATAACAAAACTTTACGGTTTTTAAAAACTTGTCTTTAATTTGTAATGTATAGTAGATATGTATGTTTGGCTCAAATCTTGCAACTCGACGTCACAATTCTGATTATTAAAATCTTTATTGTATATGTAACTTGTACTCTCCAGTATCACTTCAATATTATTTCCTACATATAAGTTCTTTAAAGCTTGTTTAGCTCGCTGGAGATTATAATCCCCAATACGTTTTACGACGAAAAAAAAATAACAGACACTTAATTTTTTATTGGTGCTTTAAATATTAAATACTATTAGTAGGCACTTAAGTATACTTTTGCCCATTATTTTAGAACTATACACAACACAACTCTTGCATAAGTAATCATGTGAATTTGTACACAGAACATACAATAATCTCCCGTTTGATTGACGTTTACCGGCTCCCGACTTCTTTATTAAGTTTAATCTGTTAATTACTCTTTATCTATACATCTTAATGCATGTCTGTCTGTCACTTTGAATTTGGTGGCCAGTTTCATGGGGGAAAACGTGGAGAAACTTCTAACATGGCTAACGAGTTTGTTGTGAAGTATAAATGTGGTCTCAATTGACACACTTGGAGGAGCAGTTTCTGCTGTTATGTTTGCTTAACGTAATTCTTGATATAAGTTTCATTTTGCATATTATATTCACCATAATTCATCATCAGCCTAGTAATGTCCACACTGCTGGGGCACAGGCCTTCCCCATGGATGGAATAGGGAGATTGGGCCATGACCCACCACGCGGGCCCAGTGCGGATTGGCGGGTGCTAACGACTGCAGATGCAGCCGGGACCAACGGCTTAACGTGCCTTCCGAAGCACGGCGGAGCTCGAGATAGTAAATTTTTGGTCACCCATCCAATGATCGACCGCTGCGAAAGTTGCTTAACTTTAACGATCGCAGCCGAACGCGCTAACCACTTGCGCCATCGAGCTCCTCACCATGATTATCAGCTTCTTATTCCTTCATTGGCCTTCCCTATGGATGGAACAGGGAGGGGATGGAACATGCTTCCACATGCGCGTCCAATGCAGATTGTTGGGTGCTAACGTTAAGACTGGCATTTGCGTAAGCTGTTCAATGTTTTATCGTCTGATGCTAAGCGGCCGCCGTAGTTTAAAGACGCTTTTGATACTAAAAATATAATTAGCGACATTACCTACCATGGCCCAATTAGAGCCCTCTTTCCCTGTGGGCACTTTGGGTAAGTGCTCAGGGCCCCGCTAGTTCTTGTTAGATCACCAAACGGAAGTCATAGGGGCCCCATTATCGTAATATGCCAAGGGTCTCCAATAGGTCAAAGACGGCACTGGGCCCAATCCTTTACCCCGTGGAACCCTTGAACCTCACTAACCGATAGAATCACAACACAATCAAAACGTAGTGTTATTTTCTGTGATCCTCTGCAAAGTGAAGGTGACTTCCCCAGATGTTCACTCCAATTCCACGATCCCAGACTAAACACTACCAATGGCGCCATCAAGTTCCTCACATCATATTTAATGTCTTAATTTATACCGAATCTATGATGCGTAGGTGTCATAATAATATTAGCATTCGTCAAGAAATACGTAATGAAGTCTTTTGTGATATTAATAGAACCTTTTTTTTTGTTGTTACAGAAATCCAACAAAATGGTAGCCGTGCACTAAGAACAGAAGAGAAGATGGATCCGAGTCAATCTGACCGCACCAACATCATGTTGAATATCAACGATGCAAATAACAGAATACCAACTTTGAGAGACATCGAAAAACCTAATGAAAAGAAAACACAAACAGAAGACAAAATGAAAATGAAATTTGACACCAAAAAATCTAAATACTTACTATATGACAATTTTAGCTACCGGGAAGATCTCTGTAGAAGAACTCTTTTAAAGAGAGAATATAGCATTTATAACTACTGTTTTTTCAGTGTCATAATTAGTTTTGGTTTTGGACTTGTGATAGGAGTAGCACTTATGAGCTCAACACAAAAAGTCACTCCAAATTTCGCACCTACAAAACTAGTGAGAATAAATAGTAGCAGAGAAATTATCACGCGTAACTTAAACTCTTTAAAAACAGAAAAGACTGATAATGATATTGATTTAACTATCAAAACAAAAGAGGATAAATTTAAATCAGTATCGTTTACTGGGGCCGAATCTCATAAGTATAGAAAAGATGTATATCCCAAAGGATTGACGGAAGACATGAAAGATATACTAAAAGATAATAAGGTTAATCATCATACGCATTCTATTACGAATGTTGTGAATAAAACAAATTTTGTTCCTAATGACAAAACTGTGCTTTATGATAATGTTTATTGGGGTCCTGAGGTAGAAGACTATATGCCTCAAGGTTACGGTGAGAATTCAGCTGATGTTTGGGAAAGCTACGTAGAACAGAGCGAAGTAGTGAAAATGGATCCAGGTTGCGGACGAATGCAGAACAGATTAGTGACATTCAAAGATGGTATACAAGCTTGCGTCCGGTACCGACAGAACACGGACCAGATCCAAGGGGAAATCTTCAGCTTTTACGTGGGAAAGTTGTTGAATTTGACGAACCTAGCGCCATCTGTTGTCAAAGTGGTGGACTTAAAGGAGAAGCTGTGGAGGAATGTCGCCGCCGACATTGGGACGGCCCAGTGGAACACAAACAGAGCAGTGGTGCTTACACAATACATACCAAGTTTAGAATCTGCAACAATACCCGATATATTCAAACCTTCCACCAGACATTTGAATAAGAATGACGTTCTAGAAATGTCTTTGAAGGAAAACGATACTACTGAAGCATCTAAGCAACTTCTCATACAGAAATTGAAAGCAAAGCCTTCTAAAACGTTTACAGATAAAGTTGAAAACTTCGACCATATCGATATGAAGTTGAATAGAAAAACCATCGACTCTTTCGTCGAACTCGCCCAGTGGTCCGATCTCATTATATTCGATTATTTGACGGCCAATTTGGATAGGATTGTCAATAACCTATTCAATTATCAGTGGAACATTAATATAATGGATGGCCCCGCGCATAATTTAGCCAGGAAGATGGATAGTGGACTGCTTTTGTTTCTTGATAACGAGTCTGGGTTACTACACGGCTATAGGCTGTTGAAGAAATACAATGTTTACCATAGTGTTATGTTGGACAATCTTTGCGTCTTCAGAAAGAAAACTGTTGACTCACTAAGATATCTGTATGAGAATTCTGTTGGTGTTAAGCTAAGTGACATGTTTCATAAGAAAAATAGTGCGGTTATAAGGGACATACTGCCTCCATTACCGGAGAAGAACTCAAAGATTCTACATGAAAGAATAGGTAAAGTTTTGACTCAAATCGACAAATGTGCAGAGATTTTCAGATAGTCAACTTAAACATCTCCTAGAATTTTAATCAATTGAAGGGTAATTTATTTTTTTGTAACGCGACAGCACGACTGTGATATTGTATTAGTTGCGTTGTTGATACCAAATGTTATTGAATTAATTTATTGTATAGAATTGGATTGTTAATAATAATTATTAGTATTTAATAATGTGCCAGTGTATTATTAAAGTGATATTTAATTATCTTATTGATAATAATGTTTGTATCATATAATTATGACGATGTAAATATTGCTTGTATGATAAGTTTAAATTGATGTAAAGGAATTTGTAAAATATAATGATGAACGAAAAATTTATATAAATAACTGTCATAAAAATCTGACGTTTTATTTAAATTTCAGTGATGATTTATGTTGATATAAAAAAGTTATGAAGGAATATTAGAATGTAACTTTGACACATTAAGAAAGAAAAAGCCAAGTCCAATATAGTTCCTATACTGAAATAAGAGCCAAAGAAAAAGATACTAGGCGGCACCTGTAAACTTTGCTGTGCAAAAAGATAGCTTTTCTATACAAAAAGGTGTCAAACGAGCATTTGGCTCGCCTGGTGATAAGCAGTAGCCATAGCCTTTCTATAGACGCTTGTATAACATACGAGACCACGTGTATCGCAATCCAGGTGGTCAATTACGTAACGGGATATGCTATGGCTATGGCTATCGCTTACGTTTTCGTTTTGTTATTTCCGACCACCGAAGTTTTTCAAATACCCCACGCTCATTTTCTTTAATATTGTTATTACCAATGCAAAAGAAAATATAATGAACGCGAGGCATTTGAAAATCTTCAGCGGTCAGAAATAACAAATAATTTCGTAAGCGATTGCGATAGCCATAGCAATCCCGTTAGGCGATTGGCCGCCAGACGTCGCCATGGGGGGCAGGTGGGAGGGCCATCGTGTTGAGCAGGGGTTTGTGTTCAACTTGGTATGTTTTAGAATATTGGCCCAGAAGTTGGCGCAACATCCGTAAGTATGGGTCGGTTTTTATCAAAAGATCAAAGATTCAAATTCAAAGCTCAAAATTTCACCCGATTCAAATTTTATTTTCACGAGTCATTGAAGTCAAATAGTATATTAACTATAATAGGGATCATCGTCAGCCTATTAATGTCCCTACTGCTGGGGCACAGGCCTTCCCTATGGATGTAATAGGGAGATTGGGCCATGACCCACCATGCGGGCCCAGTGCAGATTGGCGGGTGCTAACGACTGCAGATGCAGCCGGGACCAACGGCTTAACGTGCCTTCCGAAGCACGGCGGAGCTCGAGATAGTAAATTTTTGGTCACCCATCCAATGATCGACCGCTGCGAAAGTTGCTTAACTTTAACGATCGCAGCCGAACACGCTAACCACTTGCGCCATCGAGCTCCAACTCCAACTGAGTGAGTATAATAGAGATATACTGTGATGTAATAAATCGCAAGAGCCTTCAGGGTCTATACATCCAATTTAATAAATTCTTGCGCATATTGGCTTGAACCGAAGCAAACTGAACTACTTTCTAACGTCTGGATGGCATCACTTAGTCTAAGTCTTAGTAGTACGGTGGGCTGTTTCCGCAACTCGACACCCAGTGCCTATTTTGCGTGGGGATTGGCATCAGTCCTGCAATCCCAGCTCCTCCAGAAAGCTCAGCACTCTCCGAATGTTGCTGCAGGCCTCTACTATTGTCTTCGGGCTTCCCATTAGAGAAGTTTTTTGTCTTGCAACGCTCCTGCACTCCAGTAGGACATGGGCGCTCGTCTCATCCTCCTCCAGGCAGGCTTTGCACAGAGGGCTGTCAGAAATACCTATATTACAGAGGTGTTTGTTGAAGTAGCCATGACCCGTAAGTCTACCCACGATTTGTTTTAGGGCTTGTCTAGGTAGTCTGATTAACTTACGTGTTAGCTGCAGGTTTACCTTAGGAACGGCTTCCCTAGCTTGCCTGCAGTCCGTGAGTTTTGCCCAGTATTCGTTGTGTTGTCGTTGACAGCGCTCCCTTATCCAGGTTCGCAGCTGTCGATAGGGTATGGGTACAATTGGCTCCGGACCAATGGCCGTCCTGCTGGATGGCATCACAAACTCTTGGCTAATATCTTTGCCATAATATTTGCTACAATATTGGCCAACGTGTAGAGCAGGCATCATTATCTATCAGTGTCTCCACTGCTGGGGCACAAGCCTTCCCTATGGATGGAATAGGAAGATTGGGCCATGATCCACCACGCGGGCCTAGGATTGGCGGGTGCTAACGACTGCAGATGCAGCCGGGACCAATGGCTTAACGTGCTTTCCGAAGCACGGAAGAACTCGACCACTGCGGAACGCGCGCTAACGCGATAAACACCCACGCCATCGAGCTCCTCAGAGCAGGCTTAAAGCAATCTAATTTCTTAATCCACTCATCTGACTTGCTTTCCTGACCAAACATTTCTGCTTCCTGCACGACGAAACTTGAGTAAGTTAACTAGGTGATTCCAATCCCAAATGAGTATAAACTCATATCCCCATATTAATGAACAAGGAATAAGCTTAGTGTCGCCGCACACGGGCCACACGCCACAGCCACAAACGCCTACCACGAGAAGCTAGAAGCGGCTACTAAAGTGGCTGAAGCGCGCGACAGCGGCCGACTAAGCTAAGGGAGAGAGGGGTGGGGAATCGCGCGAGTGACGCGTGGCGGCGTTTTGTATCGGCGCATTAAATGGCAGGTGTGAGCCACAAGAAGCGAGCAACGACGATTTGTAGCCTGTGGCGAGTCCATATAAAATGTATGAAATATGCCGGTGGCGGCGTTTTGTGGTTGTGGTCGGTGGCCCGTGTGCGGCGACACTTAGACTAGTAGCACCGTGTTTTGTTTATGCCACTCAAATGTCATTTGCCATTCAATAGACAGAAACAAAATATGGAGTAACTAATCCAAACGTAGTCGTCGTTTATTAAGTCGGCGGATAAGGTATAAACCTTGCCTACCTGTACCGTCAATTTTAGTGTTGCTAACAATAGTATAAAATATTGATAATTTATCGATACTATCGCGGCCTTGAAAGGTAGTCACAATATCGATGTATAAGATAGAAGTAATAAGTACCTAGTTTAATACTTGTAAAGGTATTCATTTGACATTGTGGGTTACCTATAATGCGAAGGGATGGCGCTGCCTTGCAACCTAAGAAGAAAAAAGAAGAAGATAAAATTCGACACGGCCATCAGGGCTGCGGTAGCATAATGGTTGGTGCATTCGCCCGGATAGCGAAGGGTGCGGGTTCGAGTCCCGCCTGGTCCGCGTAAATTTTTTTCTAGTAAAATATTCTTTAAATTTAATCATCTAGCAGTTCAATGCTTAAAAAAATGTGGTTAATAGTTTGCAATAACTATTGATGAAACCTAACCAACTATCAATACTTTTGCAACGCTAGTTTGACGACCTCCGTGGCCGAGTGGTTTGTACGCCAGATTTCATGGTGTCACCGATTCGTCCCGGGTTCGAATCCTGATGGGGGCAAATGTTTGTACGACGAATACGAGCATTTGTACTCCAGTCATGGATGTTCAATATATATTTCTTTAAGAATATACTTATATACAGTATATGTTTTCTATCCGTTACCCTAGCATCCCATACCACAAGCCTTGCAGTGCTTACTTTGGGGCTAGCCTAGCCCTATTGGTGTGAGTGTTCGAAATATTTATTTATTTATATTTGTACTCAATTTATCAGTTGGCGACGCTCTTGACCACAATAGAACCTATTCTTATGCCCCCTTATTAATTATTACAAGGAATAAGCTTAGACTAGTTACGCCCTGTTTTGTTCGTGTCACTCTAATGCCATTTGTCATTCTATAGGCACAAAACATGGAGTAACTGATCCAAGCGTAGTCTTCGTTTATTAATAAGGCAGATGAGGTTTAATCTTCCAAAGTCCTGGATAAGCTTCTGACTTGACCTGATTAATAAATGTAAGTGGACTACAGTCTCTAAGATAGTAGATAAAGAAAGATAAATGAATTTCGATACAGTTTCCTGGACATTGCGATGTGAGATTGCTGTCCGGGGCACTTCAAAACACTTCACAACATCAGGGCTGCGGTAGCATAATGGTTGGTGCATTCGCCCGGATAGCGAAGGGTGCGGGTTCGAGTCCCATCTGGTCCGCGTAGATTTTTTTCTCTAGTCCAGCAGTTAAATGCTTAAAAAAATGTAGTTAATCATCATCATCATCATCAGCCTCTTTATGTCCCCACTGCTGGGGCACAGGCCTTCCCTATGGATGGAATGTAGTTAATAGTTAGCAAATAACTATTGATGAAACCCAGCCAACTATCGATAGTTTTGCAACGTTAGTTTGATGACCTCCATGGCCAAGTGGTTTGTTAGCCTGGATTCATGGTGTCGCCAACTCGAGAGGTCCCGGTTTCGAATCCTGGTGGGAGCAGATGTTTGTGTGATGAATACGAGCTGGAGTACAAATTCCAGTCTTGGATGTTTAATATGTATTTCTATATAAATATACTTATATATGTACAGTATAGGTATTCTCTCCGCTACCATTGTATCCCATAACACAAGCCTTACAGTGCTTACTTTGGGGCTAGGCTAATAGTCCAGTCAGTATTGTCGCGAAATCCGTTTTTCCTCAAACAGCTGGAACTATGCTAAAAAGTTTCTTAAGATAGTAAAGAACACTTTACATAGAGAAAAAAATGTTTCCAACCCCGGGCAAGGGTGAAAACCACCCTTAATAATCTATTTTTCCAATTATCTCAAAAAGTATACGAGATACGGAAAAAAACTTCAAATGAAAATTGTAGATCTTTTTGAAATCTACAAAACATTATTCCACCCTCTTGCCCCTATTTTCAATAGGGGAGCCAATAATCGAAGTCAAAGATAACTTTTTTAACTAACTTTAACTTTTTAAGTATTGAATCTTTGACTTCGATTATTGGCTCCCCTATTGAAAATAGGGGCAAGAGGGTGGAATAA